CAGTTACTTCACTTCCCTCTTCTTCTTCTTCTTCCTCTTCTTCCTCTTCTTCTTCTTCTTCTTCTTCTTCTTCTTCAGAACTCTCATCTTCTGTTTCTGGAAGATTATGGTAATGGGGAAATCGAAGAACAGCATCTCTAGGTTCGTTCCTTACTGCTTTACTGTCATTTCCATTAACAGTTTGGCAATTTCCCACTTCTTCTTGGAATCTCACATCTCTTGACACTAGCACTTCCTTACTACCGTTGATCCAAATACGATACCGTTCATCCCCGTCATACCCTAGAAGATATCCTTTAATAGCCTTCTTGTCTAGTTTTGATCTTCTTGGTTTTGGAATGTGAACATATGAAGGTGACCCAATGATTCTCAAGTGATTTAGTCATGGTTTTCTACCAAGCCATAGTTCATGTGGACTCATTCCATCTTTGGATGACTTGCCAGTTCTGTTTAAGATATATATAGCGGTGTTAACTAGTTCACCCCACAATTCTTTTGGAAAATTTGCCTCTGAGTTGGCATACAACATAGTTCTTACCATTTCCATTACAGTACGATTTTCACGTTCACTACTTCCATTTTGCTCTGGAGTATACGGAGCTGTTAATCTTTGAACGCAGCCATTCTCTTTCAATAAATCTCTCACCTCTTCATTGTCGAACTCCCCGCCATTATCGCTGAGAAATTCTTTTATGGTGTGACCAACAGTTTTTGCATTATTAAACATGCAGATTAAGGCATCTTTAACTTCGGACTTTTCTTTCAATAGAAAGGCATATCTGTACTTTGAAAAACTGTCTTTAAATATGACAACATACCTCTTCTTCTGGAAGGTGAGGTCAAGAAGTCCACATACATCTCCAGACACAAGTTCTCCAGGAACGCTTGCCTTCATCCTTTTCCCAAATGTTCGTGTGTGTGCCTTCCCAAATATACATGACTCACATAGGGAATTATCCACATTAACCTTGATTTGAAACTCATTTTCTAATAAGGTTTTCACATGCCTTTTATCCTGATGACCAAATCTCTCATTGTAGAGCTGCAGGATTGAATTATTAGGTGTAATAGCATTTACCTCCATGTCACCCATAGGAGTTATTGGCTCTAAGGTTGTCTTGAAGAGGCCTCCATCAGGTGGGCGCATTCCACACACAATTTCTTCTCCATTTAATGAAAGACTGCAAGAAGTTCTATTGGACTGGAATCTGCTTTCCGGATTAAAATCATGTGCCATTAAAACAGAGAACAAATTTCTAGCAAGATTAGGAATGTATAACACATCTTTCAGCATTAGTATCTTACATTCATCCTTTAAGACAGACTTCATTTTAATATCACCATAGCCTATAGCTTCAATAATATCATGACCTGCTTGATTGACTTCCTTTGGAATGTCAAACCTTTTGTAATTGACAAAATACTGTGAGCTGTTTGTCATATGTTTCGTTGCACCATTGTCTAACCACCAAACTGAACTTCCATCTTCTATGGCAGTGCATGCATTGTCTTGGACGAATATGGCAGTGGTGCCTATCGGTCCCTTGGTCTTCTTTGGATTTGCATTTTCCTTAGGTTTGGCTGGACGTCCATCTTGAATCCACTGTTTGCATTCTCTTATCCAGTGTCCCTTTTTCTTACAATAATGACATGGATTTGCTTGTTTAACAGTTTTCTTATCATTATTCTGTCTTACAGATAATGCTTCTCGAGTAACTCTTTCTTCTTGCTTGACTTTGTTTTCTTCATGACATTTAGTTAGGAAATTTCTTTCAAACATACATAGTTGACTTAGAAGCTCATCTAAAGTATTGTCTTTATTCTTTGACATCAACATCCAGCTTGACTTGAATGTCTCAAAGCTATCAGGCAATATTTGCAAAAATTTACCAATCAGTAACAAATTTGGCAATTCAGGTTTGTTAGCTACTCTCAGCCCACCGTTTAGCTCATTCCATAAGGTGTTTAATTTAGCTATATTACCTGAAACATCAGCATTATTTGACCAACTGAAAGAGAACAGATCCGTGCAATATTTAAATAACTGATCTTCAGCAGCAGCTTCAAAATTCTTCTTTAGTGTTTCCCAGACTTCATTCTTATCCATTATTTTCTGGTAAACAGCATCAGTTACAGCAGCAGTGATCATCGACTTGGTGAAACTATTTCCCTTCCTATACAGATCATATTGCTCCTTGTATTTCTTTATGTCATTATTCGATGCATTCTCACCGAGTTCATCGGGCTTTATCAGCTTTCCATCTACCGCGTCTAAAGCTCCCTCATAATAGTCCAGCAAATCTCTAATCTTTCTTTTCCAGACAGGCCATTCCGCTCCACTGCCTAGTGGCTTTATGTGCTTTATTAAATCCACGTTCTATAGATTTATTGCTTAACATACGCATTTACTAACACAGGAACTCGGAGCTTTCTACTCACAGTGTCTGGGCCCATAACCTGATAAGTTATTTGACAGAAATTTGATCTCTGTAGTTTCAGTTAATGACTTACTGCTTTAGTCACACACTCAATACACGTCATTGTACTGTTAGGCTTCTGCCTTTTACTTACTTACATTATAGTTACAATATAACACGTGCAGTAGCAAACTTTGCTAGAGCAAACTGGACTCCAGTAGAACGAATCACTACATAGTGGGCGGAAGAACAAATGTCAGTGTCTTTTAAACATACAGAAAAACATGGAGGCTGCACATACAGCCAACCTAAACTATCAGAAGATGAACACTGTGCTACCAACTGAACAAATTAACACTTCCCATAACAAATCAATCTATGTGCCCATTTTATGGAGAAAATATTTGTCTCTTTTTGAATTCCAAGTAATTTTGTTGTGTATGTGACATAGGGACAGATGTAAGGTTCATGTTTTAAGAAATGAAGATGTTTGGTATTGTTAAGAATCTCCGTGAAGTGATGACTTCCAAGAGCACTTCATCGTTGTCGTCATCCGAAGTTCCTGATCCTTCCATCATCATTTTTGTCATCCCCTCTCTCAGTGACAATGCCAGTCACAGGAGGTGATCCCTTTCCTTTCTTTCCAAATAGATTTTCCCATTTTGTTGGCATTACTGTCTTTGTAACTTCAGTCTCTTTCTGTGTCTTTTGTGTCCTTAACAAAAAAAGAATGTAGTAAAGTATTGAGTTGTCCCTGTGCATGCTTAGTTAAATACCTGACCATGAAAACATATTGGGGAGTGGAGATATAGCTCCATGTAGTCTTACCCTTGGCACTGGATTTAAATGACTCGTCAGCTTCATGCACTGGCTGCTTTACTCCTGGGTGACGAACCCCCAGTTCCCATGGAGAGGAGGGTGGGTGGGCCCTGTATAGCTCTGGATGCCACAAAGAAGAGAAGATATTGTTGTATGTAAATTTTAAATACGCGTATCGTCACTGTCATCAAGGGCCATTGCAAGGATTGTGATAGCTGTCCTCATCGCAGTTGTTGAGTGTAATATGGATGTGTTTTTCCTTGTTGATAAATTAGATGGCTAGGCTTTCATTTAGTGTAGAAGAAATTTATTTGAATTTGGTAGTCTCGTGTCAGTAACTACAAAGACTACTATCTCCTGGGATGTAACACTCTGTAGTGGGGTAGAAATTCGCTTGTTTCTGACGAACATCAGCAAGTAGCAAGCAGAACAAGCCATGCATACAAAATTTGATTAAGATATAGAACTGTGAAGGAACCGAGAGAGAACCAATAAGAACAAGGAGAAAAGTAACTGGTGTTGGCCCTGTGACAGGCCGCATTTACAGAGAGAAGTGGCAAGGGGTGGCCAACAATTTTTTTTTTTGCTCGTTAGATGGGACGAAGTCCCTTGTACTGTGGCCACTTCTGGCCTATTGTATCAGCCCCAGATGATAGGTGAGGGTGATTGTGGAGCAGTTGGTGGAAAGAAGATGGGCAGGGGAAACCAAAGTACTCGGAGAAAACCTGCCCCAGCGCCACTTTGTCCACCACAAATCCCACTTGACCAGACCGGAGATCGAACCTGGGCCGCCGCGGTGGGAAGCCAGTGACTAACTGCTTGAGCTGTGGCGCTGGCCAACAAATTACTGTTGTATCCGGAGAGTGCTGTGCAGCCAGTGAACTTTTACTGCGCTACATGGTAACACATCCTAAATGACCGTATTCTTTGTACATAGAATTTCTTTGTACATACTAGTTTCCAAGGTTTGATGTTCTTGTAAGAATGAATATTAAGATTGTAGACTTTTGGGGTGTGATGTCACCTAGCCTGGTTACCAGTATTTCAGAGGAATACGACTCTCCATTGTCAGGATAGAAGTGGGTTCAGATTGCTCTTTCAGAGCAGTAGTAACTCTGTACTAGACAACATACCTCACCATCGTCTGTGAGCCGATTGTCTAGAAAATGTAAGAGCCTCAACCTCACACTACCCTGTGGGCATCCATGGCCTGTTAAGGGATAGCTTTACTTAACCTCACTGCCGTCTGTGAGCCAATTGTGTTGATAATGTGGGAGCCTTGATGTCTCACAGCCCTATGGGCCTCCATGGCCTGTTACAGGGGTAGCTTTACTTAACCTCACCGCCATCTTTGAGCCGATTGTGTTGATAATGTGGGAGCCTCGACGGCTCACAACCCTATGGGCCTCCACAGCCTGTTACAGGGATAGCTTTACTTAACCTCACCATCATCTGTGAGCCGATTGTCTAGAAAATGTGGGAGCCTCCATCACCTGTTACAGGGATAGCTTTACCTTTTTACCTACTAGACTACATGGTATTACATCCCAGGAGACTGTGATCTAACATAACACATTCAGTATATTTACCTGTTTTAAAATGTTACCTTTAAATATGTATGTGGCACTAGTTTACTGAATTTATTCCATTCATATATGAACATGTTATCTTGAAGTTGAGATCTCACAGAATATATGCTTTCTAATATATTTAATGCATTTTTTGTTTTAAAAGTTTACCATCTCTCATCATGAAAGATATCGAGTGGTGTGTGTGTTCATATTATTTCTTAAATGGATTTGTTTGGACCACAATAATTTTATCCGTAGACAATGCTACTTGGGCATTCCACCATCTTTTATAAAATAATAGCATAGAGTGATTTTATTGTTGCTGTCATTGTGCTTGGTCTTTCTAGATGGTGTTGCTCGAAGTATTAGAGGCCCCATTGTTCATCAAAGTTCCAACATCACAAGTGTATCTCACGGCAAAGACTGTACGTTTTGAGTGTGACGTTAAGGACAACAGAACAACAGAAATAGTATGGCTGAAGGATGGGAAACAGTTGCAAATTAATGGTTAGTATAGTTTGTATTTGTCATGTTGCCAGTGTAGGTGGTCTTTGGGTCTAAGGTATGAAACCAGGACCCAGTGAATATTAAGTAGGCATGCCGCTCGCTCAGCCATGGTGTGCAGCTGTATTTTACAAATACAGTAAAACTTGGTTATAGCAACATCGGTTTCTGCGACACCTTGTCTGTTGCATCAGATATTCAATGGTACGAACTAATTCCTCATAAAGCAACTGTTTTTATACCTTGCTTAGTACGACATGCACAAATGCATCAACCTCGTATGTAACGTCATTTTCATTCCTGAATTTCTCTGATATGGACATTGAACGTAATTTAGAAAGTGTGTATTGGGCAAGTAACAGGAAACAGATGAAGATAACTGATTACTGTACTCGTATCTAGGTACAGTAAGGCACAACAATTGATGTAATCTACTGTAATTTGGTGAGTAGGCCTACCTTTAATATACAGTATTAGTGCGGTGTGTACTGTCAGTGAAAAGCGCTGTAATATGCTTTGATATTACACATTTGGGCAATTCCACGTTAATGTTACGTTAGTCTGTACTTAACTACGTATTTCACTAAAAAATGCAACATTTTAACTCGGTTTTTGGTAGATTTTTACGTGACTAACATGAGGCTACTGTGGAAGTGCCCATTTCGGTTACGACGACATTCGTTTATAACAACACTATTTTTAGGTCCCTTTGATGATGTTATAACCAAGTTCTACTGTATATTGAGCCTAATAACAGTCATGAAAGTGACATGTTTGTTCTTTTTAGTTATGCAATGACATTTTATGATCTCTTTTCATCTTGTTGTGGCAGGTCGAATCAAGCAGCGGCCATCAGAACTGGTGCTATCCAATACTGTAACAGATGACTCTGGACTGTACCAGTGCTTGGCTTACAATAGAGTCGGGGAGAGTTGGGTAGCTGGTCGACTGCTGGTGAATATGTCACGCATCCAGCCCGAGCCACCACAAGGCCTGACTTGCTACACACTTTCCGACTCTGCAGTTCGGTTAGAGTGCAAGGAGCCTGCAAAGCCCCAGAACAATATTACTGCCTATACAATACATTACCTTCCCACAGGTGGGCAAGAACTTATATGTAACTATACATTTTGAAATCCTTTCGTATTTAACTTTTTCTATGCTGAGATATTGTGAGTGATTTAGGATAAAGACATGTCAAAGGACGTATATACAGTCTTAACCTAACATAACCTAACCAAGCTTAACCTAAGTGAACATGTTGAAGGGTATATGTGTATGTTCATAACCTAATGTAACATAACCAAACTTAACTCATCAGAGAGAGAGAGAGAGAGAGAAAGCATGTGTATGTAGCCTAACATAACCTAACTGAGCTTGACCTCACCTAGAAAATATGTGTGTGTGTGTGTGCACGACCTTGCCAAACACAACCTAACATCCTAACCAGGCTTAACCTAACTTGACACAAGAAGACATGTATGTATATTATTTGCACATATATATTTCCTTCTGAAATGCAACTTATTATCTAGTCACCCTTCTTCCTCACTACCAGTTTCAGTCGTATACGGCCATCATGAGGTGCCTACTGTCTTGCAAAAATTGTTGCATTGTTTGTCAAAATTATATATAGCATGTGAACACGATATTTCCTAATTAAAATTAATTAACATCCCAATGTTTTCCTTGTGATAGCCATCCCTTAGTTTGAAAAATATTTTCTTGAGTATCTTTTGGATTTATTCAGAGTGCATTCATTGCCTTTGTGGCATGGGTATTATGCATGTTATTTGTGCAGTTCATAAGGATGTCGATGTAGTGTTGTTATCTGTTTTGTTATGTATTCACCATTGACTGTAGGTTCTTCCATGCAGCCAGAATAGTTATGTTATTAATTTGTCTTTGTATGTAGATTTTGTGAGGGGGGAGTTGGTTGAATAAGAAATTTAGGAAAGACATTTTTACTTTCTTATACGGTTATTTAAGCTTACAGTTTCACAAACACAGTTGCAGCTTTCTTCTGCTAATCCATAGTTTCTGCCACTGTTTCTGTGGTTTTTTGTAATCACATCGTGACTTATAATGATTTCAGAAATATACTGTTAATCTTAATGATTTCAGATGGTGGTGAAGAACGACAAGAAGTTTCAATAAATTGCTCTTTTCTGGTGCATAAGTTGTCAGCCTTTACAAACTACACATTCTATGTGCGTGCCTACAGTTCAAAGTCAGCCAGTGACCAGTCAAAGCGCACCAAGTGTCAGACTGGTGAAGGAGGTAAATTTTCAGCTAAGTCTAAAGTTTATGACAGAGCATACTTCAGATATTATCAGTCACATTGGTTTTAGAATGGGATCTGTTTCCATCATCTGGTGTGAAGGAAGAAGGGTTCTTACTCAGTTGGGCCCATAAGAAGGAGCTACATAGGATTCTAGGTTCTCACGGCAGTGGTTGTCCGGAGTTCTGTTATCTGGGATATAGTGCCATGTAGTCCATTCTTTTTTTTTTTTATTGCTAGTGGGGTGGGACTAAGTCCCTTGTGCTGCAGCCACTTCTGGCCTATTGTACCAGCCCCAGATGATATGTGAGGGTGATTGTGGAACAATTGGTGGAATGAAGATTGGGAGGGAAACCAAAGTACTCACAGAAAACCTACCCCAGCGCAACTTTGTCCACCACAAATCCCACTTGACCGGACCCGGGATCAACCCCGGGCCGCCACGGTGGGAAGCCAGCAACTAGTCGCTTGAGCTATGGCGCAGCCTAGTCCATTCTAAGTCAACCAATGTTTCAGAGAGATCTTGCTATGTGCTTCATGAAAGTTTGTCGTTTGGCTTATTCGTTGACCCTGAAGATGGAGGCAGCATGTTCCTCTGAAGTATCAATTGACGCTCTTGAGGGAGAACTCTTCAGAAAGATTTAGTCTTGATCAGTGGACAGAGCGTAAGTTTTAATATGATCCAGGGTACAGGTAAATACTGACTGCAGTATCTGTCTACAAAAATTTGGTTTGTATTGATATATACTGAATACTTTTCATAATATTATATTTAAATATCATGTTGCATTGATTGATTGTTGCATTTGATAGACTGTGAGTGAAATATACTTATCTGTTGTTTTATATGTTTTTGTCTGTCATATTAACACTTCGCGGACCGGTGATTTAAATATTTAAATCACCCTGGGGACCAGCATTTTTAAACATACTACCCTAATGTGTGCACTCTTCACTTTAAAAATTAATATAAAATCCCCTAATTAATTTTTTGAACTAAAATTTTTGGAGAACACTTACCAGTGCTCCTAGAAGTGCTTGAGGGTGTGATATTTCTGGAAACTTTCCCCTTTGTGAAGTGGCATTACACATAACTTGCAAATGTAGACATGCTCCTTTTTTTGTGAACTGTGCAAACATTGCATTGCCTAGAAGTATTCTTCCCCTTGGAATGTTCACTCTTCACAATTTTCACGAGGGTATTTTTCCCCATATCACTCAAGAGTCGCCCTGGGGGGTCCACATGAGGCCTTCGTGGGGTGGGAGTTGATGGGCCCGTTTGTACTAAGTCTTGGTGTGACACTGGTTCTGCCGCCACCATCTGGACTGTAGCCCAGGCCTTTGCCACATTCATGTATCTCTCACAACTGACAGTCATATTTATAACTACTAAGAACAGCTGGTGCACAGTGACAGAATAGCATGCCTTGAGCCTTTATAATATATATATAGATTGTTGTGGTTAACAGTTTACAACTTAGGATCTTCTGTAGTAGATACAGATGATAAAGGAAATGAGAAAAAGTGGCTTTCATTGTTAACCCTTTGCATGCAATGATCCATCCTAATTGGCTTGGGGCACTTGTCTAAGTCTGCTGCAGCCAAAGAGACTGGTTCATTGTTAATCGGTTGGTGCAATGTATTTGTCAGTAGATGGCTTCAGGTGTGACATTGATGTTTACAGCAAACAACAGGCTCATGTGATCTATACCTGTAGTCATTTGAGAACATATTGCATTGACCTCAAAGCAGCCTTAACATTTCTAGCTGGTAGTTCTGTGGTGGGGCTTGGTAGTGAAGGCATTAAGTAAACACTGCTTTGTTATGAAACTAATACTAATTTTCATTCCATTTCCTTAGTTCCTCAAGCCGCCCCACAACTGTCTCTGAAAGCCACCAGCCCCATTTCTCTGAGGGCTATGTGGATGCCCCTTAGTAAGGAGAAAGCTCAAGGTGTGGTTACAGAGTACAAGATACAGTGGAGGAGAAAGGGCCAAGCTTCCTCTCGGGTAGAACAGCTCAGAGGTGATGTCACTGATTACACCATCACAGGTAACTCTTTGTTACAATACCTCACTTCTCAGGTGTCATTTGACATCTAATGAAGATTTTTGTTATGATGATGACAATGTCCAGCAATAAATTCGTAGATGAATTTGGACACAAATTTAGAATGTTAGTGATAATTATTGTGAGAAGACAAAAGTTAAGGAAGGACATTAATTGACGTACAGCAAAATATTCACTAATTCTTTTTTGTTATTACAGCCCTTTGAATGTCATCTGCTGAATTTGTAATAGTTCTTTTTGATATATATATACACACACGTGGTGTGTTCAAAAAGTATCGAACCTTTGGTTGGCAGAAATACATTTATTGATTTGGAGGTACAAAACCCTAATCCCCTTCAAAGTAGTCTTCTTGGTAATGCACACACTTCACCCAGCGCTTTCGCCATTGTTGGAAACACTTATGGAATGTGTCTTGGAATGGTGATCAGCCGGGCCGTCGCATGCCTCATGATGTCTTCTCTTGACTCAAATCGGGTTCCATTCAGCGGCATTTTCAGCTTGGGAAATAGTCAAAAGTCACACGGAGCCATGTCGGGGGAGTAGGGAGCCTGACGAACCACAGGGATGTTGTGTTTGGCGACGAAAGTCTGAATCAGATGCGCAGAATGGGTGGGTGCGTTATCATGATGGAGCTGCCAAGTTTTTGCTACCCACAGATCCGGTCATTTGCGCCACTCCGCATCATGAAAGCGACGAAGGACCTCCTGGTAGTATTCCCCTATGATGGTTTGGCCTTGTGGTGTGTACTCATGATGCACAACCCCACAGGAGTTGAAGAAAACGGCCAACATGACCTTAACATTGCTGTGGACCTGCCATGCTTTTTTTGGCCTCGGGGATATCGGATGTTTCCACTGTGACAACTGCATCTTGGTTTCTGCGACGTACCCATAAACCCACGACTCATCGCCTGTGATCATGGTGTTCAGAAAGTTGGGGTTACTGTTTGCATTGTCCAGCATGTCCTGTGCGATTTCCAGACGGCGTTGCTTCTGCTCCATTGTTAGCAGTTTCGGTACGAATTTTGCGGACACTCTCCTCATGCCCAAATCCTCGGTCAAAATTGAATGTACCAATCCAGTGCTTACCCCTATCTCGTTCGCAAGTTCTCAGACTGTGATACGACGGTCCTCCATGACCAAAGTCCGCACTTGCTCAATGACATTCTCATTTTGGCTTGTTGAGGGTCTGCCTGAACGCGGTTCACTGTCCACTGATGTGCGGCCATCTTTGAAGCCGTTGTACCACTCCTTTATCCATGAGTTGCTCATAGCATCGTCCCTGAAAGCCTGTTGAATATTGTGAATTGTTTCCACTTGGGTATCACCAAGCTTTTGGCAAAATTTTATGCAATATCGCTGCTCATGTTGTTCCGTCATTTTACACCTTACTGGAATCCGACGAGTGCTCACTACATGTCCTCACTCATAGGCCGACTGCCAGCAACTGACGCTTTCTGGGGGCGGGAAAAAATTCACGACTGTGCATGAATGTCCCCTCCACATCTCCACTGAAGGGAGCCTCCCGCTCTTCATTGGTTTACGCGAGAAAAAAGAAGGTTCGATACTTTTTGAACACACCATGTATAGTCATGTATTTCCTATGTGACGCGACAAATAACTGCGATTCAAATTCAGCGAATATTTATTATACATTTTTATTCACACTTACATAATTCACAGTATCAGATTTAGTCCTGGTATGGTCCTTCCAGACTTCAACCATACTCGGCGACTTTCAGCCTTCAACTGAACTCCTTAAGCATTCCAGTTATAAACCCTCAGTCGGACAGTGGAGAATGCACCTTGCTTCACTGTTGCATAATACATGCTATAAAATTTTGGTTGAAAACCCGAAGTAAAAAAGATCAAATGTAGGACCTAGACATAGATGGGAGGGTAGTATCAAAATGCATTTTAAATGGGGTGGGGGGAAGGTGATTGTAGTTATTTACTTTAGGATAAGGATCACTGGCAGGCCTCTGTAAACCGGTAATGAATTTCCAGGTTCCATAAAATGTGGGAAATTTATTTAGCAGCTGAACAACTATTGTTTTACAATAAAGATAATTAATGAGGCGACTTGGTTCCTTAATTGATCTTCAAAATAGAAGAGTAAGAGTGTATCACCAAATTGACACATTGACACATCCCAGAAAGCGTACTGCTACAGGAATGTGACGTCTCACCGCATTAACAGGCAGCACTGTCCATTCTGCTATTCATTTAGGGACATATTGAGCAGCAGTGGTAAGAGTTACCCTAAAAGTTTTGTCAGCATTTGTATCCTATGCAGTAAAACAAGTGGGCCTTGGTTTAAATCACTGTCTGTTCCATTAGAAGATAATGTATGTGTTTATGATAAAAGGAAATTTGTAGTTTATGAAACATATGGCTTCTAGGTGGTAATGTCCCATGTTTAATAGGAACATACTATCCCCATCTTCAGGGTTGAATAATAAGTGAATCTGAGGTTGCCATCTGCTTGTGTGGGTTCTTACTTCACCTACTCTTCAGCACTGGGGATAGAGGTGACATGTTGCTCTGTAACATCCGGCTGTCTTGGAACTACATTAGGTTACAACCCAGGAGACAGTACCTTTTGAACCTACTGTCATTAAAACCTCAAAACCAACATTTACTTTACTTTTTCTTACATCTTTTAGTTAAGAATAATTCTGGACTGATTCAGTGGTTGGTTCATAATGCTCTGTACTCATAAAGAATGCAGAATGGGAAAGATGTGTGATGTGATGTTATCATGGTGTTGGCAGGAAGATTACTGTGTTCTGAGATGTGACACCATGAAGTTTGGTAGATCACTAGTGATCTTCCGCACAGAACCTGCCACCTACATTTTCAGGGTAGAAAAGCAGTATGACATAGAGGTGTTCATTGGGATGACTGTGGAGGTTACTCTAATTTGTAGTCCTGTAGATCACTACCAACATTCTGGAGGAACTACTTTCTCCATGGGATATGATGCTGTGTAGTCAGTTGAAAGTCAACTGACATGTTGGAGAACATATCGCTGCCATCTTCAGAGCCGAATAAGCTGAGCAAGATACCAGCATGAAAGCAGGTGGCATACTGGCTCGAATTATTCGGCCTGTAAGATGGAGGTGATGTGTTCCTCTAAAATGTTGGTTGACTTTCAACAGACCACACAGCATTATATTCCAGAAGATTCCATTCAGCCAATCCCGGGACAGTACCTACATTCGGCCACGACCGCTTCCTTCAACATTCTATGCAATCCAGTATTTAATATCCAATCATTCCAATGTGATATTGCCTGAATAAGTGACAGCGTTGCTATATAAACCACAAATAGTACTCGCCATAACTGCCGCTGTCAGACCCTCACAGCCTACGTACTTTCTCCGTGTAGGCAGGTGTCTTCACCAAAATATTGGTTGCTCCTACTGTACTACACAGCATCACAACTCCGTGGATTGCAGTCTTCACAGTCACCACCAAAGGTACCTCTGATTTTGCATTTCAGTTCCGCTGTAAGGATGTAGGTGAGAAGTTCTTCCCAGACATTGCTAAATATGAAGGCAAATTGAAAGGTCTGTGCCCGTTTTTTTTTTTTTCAGCCACAATAATACATATGCAAAAAAATCAAAATACAGGCAGTGTTCTAAGTACCTTTCACTATTTCTCCACATAGTCACCACCCCAGTTAAGGCATATGTCCCATCGCACCACTAGTTTGGAGATGCCGCTGTTGTAGAATTCGGCCAGTTGAGCACAGAACCACTGCCATACAGCGGTTTTGGCGTCATCATTGGAAATGAACCTCTTGCCTGCCAGGAACTTCTTCAGTGGGCCGAAAACGTGGTAATCACTGGGGGCGAGATCTGTACTATACGGTGCATGCTCCATAATCTTCCATCTGAATGACTGCAGTTGCACCCGGGGATTCTCGCAGATGATGTGGTTGTCCTCCATGACAACGCCAGTCCTCATATGGCAAACAGGACCTCCGCCCAGCTGCAGTCATTCAAATGAGAGATTATGGAGCATGCACCGTATAGTCCAGACCTCGCCCCCAGTGATTACCACGTGTTTGGTCCACTTAAGAAATTCCTGTCAGGCCAGATGTTCATTTCTGATGATGACGTGAAAACTGCTGTCCAGCGGCGGTTCCGCGCTCAACCAGCCAAATTCTACAACAGCAGCATCTCCAAACTAGTAGTGCGATGGGACAAGTGCCTGAACTGGGGTGGCGACTATGTGGAGAAATCAAAGGTACTTAGAACACTGCCTGTATTTTGATTTCCCTGTATGTATATTATTGTGGCTGAAAAAAAATAGGGGCAAAGACTTTTCAATTTGCCCTCGTAGCTACCAGACTGCTTGGCATCATATCACAGAAGATGAGCAGTATTCATAGTCACAGCCGTGAGAAGCTCTTGCATTACTCTTCTACCATGAGGATGGAGGCAATATGTTCTGCAAAAAAAAATGGTCTTTACCTGACTAAACAGCGTCATGTCGCAGAAGACGGTGACTTTCATATTCCCTGATGTGAGACGCCGATCACTGCCATAATATATTTTTTTTTCTATTATTGTAGGTCTGCATCCAGGCAAGAAATATCAAGTTCGAGTTCTTGCAGCCACAAGTAAAGGCTGGCCGATCCAGGCAGATGAGTTTGAGTGGCAAGATTTGGAAATGCCTAGTTACGGCTCACAACATGTTCCTCAGGCACCTACAGTACACTTGACTGTTGTCAACGCCACTTCTATTGAGGTACTGTGCAACTTGTCTGAGAAGGAATTGCCACACACATAGGAAAGAGGAAGAGGGCATTATTTTTCAACTGTTCTTATCACCCTCAAATTTTGGAGATGAAGCCTAGAAAGAAATACCTCACTCTTAGTTTGAACAATGATTTTATCTCAAACTGTGATAATTTTATTTAACCATGTTTGCCTTGTGCAGTAGCATGAATCATGCTGGATCCAGCAATGGTTGTATTTTGCTGGAAACCAATATGACACCAAAAGGGATAATTAGTTTCAGGGAGAGTCACTAAATAGATCCCAGATACAAAACATAAAACATGTGATACTCGTACCTGGAAAACCCCATTTATTTCTCAACATATCCTCCACCAACATTCGTACACTTGTACCATCACTTTATCAGTGCATCAGAACCCACAGCATAGAAGTCTTTTGACTGTTGTTTAAGTCACTTTAAGTTACTAGTCACTTACTAAAAAGTAATACCATAATAGTAATGTATTTATGTCATGTTTTAAGTGTCTAGAAAGACGTGCCACCTAAGACGAGCAATTCTAAGGAGGCGTATTGAATGTTTTACCCATTAGTAATTTTGTATGAGTATATTACATATACAGTGGAACCTTGCTTAACGAGCACCTCCCATAATGAGTAATTCGCATAACGAGCAAAACAAATTGTAAAAAAATGACTCGCTTAATGACTGACGTTTAGCATAACGAGTGACGAGAGGGGTAGTCCCGGATTGTGCGCTTGCTACATCAGTCTGTGTTTGGCACATGTTCCGTTAGCATCTTAATGTCGCTTATGATCACACATTTTTCCAAACTTGTGTTCAGACATATTATTTGTGATTTTTTTTTGTGCAAAGTTTGACCCTTGCAAAAATGTCCCCGAAGAAAAATATGCAAAAAGACAGCAGGGGATAATGGATTGCCTGGCCATGAGCCAATGAAAGACCGTCTCACGCTGCTATTTTGTGCCAATGCAAGCGGCGATTTGAAAATTAAACCGCTGCTTGTTTACCATTTAGAAACTCCATGAGCTTTCAAGAAGTGTAAAGTCCAGAAGAGCAGGCTAAATGTGATGTGGAAGTTCAACAACAAGGCTTGGGTGACACGTGACGTTTTTACTGATTGGATCAATGAAGTGTTTGGTCCTTCTGTGAAAAAATGTTTGCTTGAGATGAATCTGCCACTCCATGTCTTGCTTGTTATGGACAACGCTTCTGCCCATCCTCCAGACCTACAAGATGACCTCCTTGATGAATTTAAATTCATCAAGATCCAGTTTCTGCCTCCCAACACCACTCCGTTACTCCAGCCTATGGACCAGCAGGTTTTTTCTAACTTTAAGAATCTGTACACTAAAGCACTCTTCGAGCATTGTTTTGAGGTGTCTGAAGGGACCAATCTCACTCTCAGAGAGTTTTGGAAATATCACTTCCACATCGTTGCCTGCCTCAAGATGATCAAAAAGGCGTGGGAAAGGGTTACCAAGAGAACCCTCACTTCTGCTTGGAAGAAGCTTTGGCCGGAGAGCATTGTTGAATGTGACTTTGAGGGGTTTGAGATAGTACCTGTGGAGCCTGTAGTCAACGAGATTGTATCTTTGGCCAAGATCATGGGGCTGGAGGTGGATAACAATGATATCGATGAGCTTGTGGAAGAGCACAGCCAAGAGCTGACCACCAAAGAGCTTATGGTGTTGCATTGTGTTTCACAGCAAGAAGTTGTGGAGGAGAGTTTGTCAGAGGAGGAGGAGGAGGTAACAGCAAAGCAACAATCTTCTGGCACAAAAAGAGAAATGCTGAAAGCATGGGAAACTGTTGCATCGTTCAGTGAGAAGCATCACCCTAATAAGGCAGTGGCTATGCATGCTACAAATTTATTTAATGATAATGCTGTGTCGCATTTTCACCAAATTTTGAAGCATCGGTGAAAACAAATTTCTCTAGACAGCTTTCTAGTAAAAGAGAATTAGATATGTATCATAAATAATAAACTAATTATTTCGATTTTTTTCTGCAAATCGAATTCGCATTCCAGGTTGGTTCATTCTGCATAGAAGAAAAGATGAAGATGATTCACGCTCCTTAACAATGTATATGTAATTTTCTTTGAATGAACGTTATACATAAAATTTTTTGAGTATTTTTTTCAGCATGGAACGCATTATCGTATTTTACATTAATTTATATGGGAAAAATTGTTTCACTTAACGAGTGTTTCGCATTACGAGTAAGATTCTGGAACGAATTATGCTCATTAAGTGAGGTGCCACTGTATATATACAGGGTGTTTCACGACTTTAGGGCATAACTTCAGGAGGTGATTTCCTAGGTCTTTGTGATCAAAAAAGTTCATGTAAACATGTGTCCGATTTTGGATGGTTACGGAGTTATGACCGTTTTAAACTCAGAATAGAAGGTAACGATTACTGACAATAAACGGAACAAAATAATAAACCAGCATAATACATGATACATTTAAAGTATGAATGTAAAGTTAGCTTTGTGAAATTACCTTTAATTTGAATTGATTGGTGCTTAAAGCTGATTTTCGAAAATATCAATGCCGGCTGCAATGCAGGCTGCCACTTGGTTGTAAACCGCATGGGTAGCATGTAGCAGCTTCAGCTGGCTGTTTCTTATGTGGTCAGCAGTATCCAGAATGCGACCAAGCAAAGCATCTTGTCATGTACCATACTAACAATGCCTTCTTCATTGACACCTTCATTAACACCACGCTCGGCCACAGTACGAACCCCGGGAAGTCTACCGGTATCTCGCAATGCCTGGTAAACTCCAGTAAACTCTCTCTGGTTTGGTATTCTACGATTCGGAAACCGTTGCTGATATTCAGCTACTGCAGGAACTGATTTACTGTCACAAAACCCATACACATAAATCATATCTGCATACTCCTCAAATGAAAATGTAAATGGCATCGTGAACGTAACAGACGCACCGAGATGAGAACTATTCTGAACACCAGTAGCCGCACTAGCCGTGCCGGACATACCAACCCACCACGCCTTAGGTACCTCTCAAGTGTCGAGATAACGAGAACGCTCTGTCTGTAGCAGGCTAAAAATAGCGACCCACCAGATGATAGATGTGGTTCGCACGAGGGCATGTACGGGAATGAAAAAACGGTCATAACTCCGTAACCGTCCAAAATCGGGCATATGTTTATATGAAATTTTTTGATCACAAAGACCTAGGAAATCACCT